TTGCTTTTTTATCATAACTCATAACAATGATAAAAATTGTGCTTTATACCCTATTTTACAGATAAGAAATCTAAGATACAAAAATACTAAATAAATTTGACCTATACTGCAAACTTCCCACTGATAGGAAGTTACATCTCAGATTAAAATGATACATTACATGACTATTTCTGTCATACCATATTGGATCTCATATCCTGTTGGTGAAATTATAAACTGGTATTTCTTTGCTATCATTCCAATTAGGCTTTCATTTCTATAACTTCAGTGAAAGTATTCCTGTCAAGGTCATCAGTGACTTGTATATTGCTAAACCGTGGTGGTACATTCTCAGATCTCATTTAATGTGACCTGTCAGCAGCATTTGACAAACTTAATCACTATATATACCTTAATATACTCTGTCATCAGTTCTCTGGACACCCCACTCTTCCTTTCTACATACCTCTCTATTCACTCTCTTTTTCACTAGTCTCTCCTCTACTCCTTGATCTTTTAATCTTTAAATGCCCAAATTCCTTGATTCTATTTTCTTCTCTACCTACATTCACTTCCTTTTGGCCTTATTCTGGATACTCCAACTTCTCTCAGATTTGTATTTGCAGCCAGGACATCTATTTCAAACTCCAGATGTGGGTATAAAATTGTGTACTTGACATCTTTACTTAAATTCTAAATAGATATTTTAAAACTTGAATAATCAAACACATCCAAAACTGTGCTCTTGATTTTCTTCAACTGACTTTTCATCCTACAGTTCTCATTTCAGGTGATGGCAACTCAAACTTCTAGTTGCTCAGGCCAAAAATATTGGAGATACCTTTGATTTTTTGAAAATCTGGATATACCACATACATTCTATTAGGAAATTTTTTTCTGTCTACCTTTCAGATGTTCCAGAAATCCAATCATTTTATACAAAGTCCAGCATGAAACCTTAGGCCAAGTCACAGTTAACTCTTACCTGAATTATTGCAAGAGTCTTCTTTCTGGACTCCCTGCTTCTTTCCTTGACCCTTCGTGGTATATTCTCAACATAATATCAGGGGTGGTCTTTTAAAAACATTAGTTAGATCATGTCTCCTATCTGCTGAAAACCCCATTTTATTCCCAGTGAGAACCCCAAATCCTAGATGACCTACAAGTTCCCATATGATCAGTGCCACCACAGACCACTATTTTTCTGATTTAATTCCTACATAACCACTCCTTCAGCTACAATGGCATTCTTTGCAGAATATATTTTGCTTTGACTGCTCCTTCTACTTGAAAAGTCCTTCTACTAGAAATCTGCATGTCCAACGTCCTTACCTCCTTCAAGTATTGCTCAAATAAGTTTTCAATGAAATTGTAAAATGCAACCTGCCTCTGTTCAACAGTCCTCCTGATCCTTTTAAACTTATTAGTACTTTTCCTTTCTCCCATAGTGCTTATCACCTTCTAATATACTATGCAATTTACTAATGTGATTGTGCTCTTCACCTAAAATGCAAACTCCTTGAAGACAGTACTCTGTTTTCATTCTTCAATGTATTCCAAAAATCTAAAACAATATCTGGCACAATATCTTTCCAATATTTTCTGAATGAAAAAATTCTTTCACACACCATTTTGGTATTGTATTCTGACATTGAAAACTCACATGCTCACCAGTAATTAGACTTCAAGGCATATATACTCAAGAGAAATATTAGCACATAAGGGGACATACACAATCCAAAACATCAAAGAATTCTTACAACTTGATAGCAAATAATCAAATAAAAAATTGTCAAAGGGCTTGAATAGATATTTCTTCAGAGAAAACATAAAAATGACCAACAGATGCTCGATATCATGCAAAGATGGTCAACATCACTAATCATCAGAGAAATGCAAATTCAAACCGCAATGAGATATCACCTGTTAGGGTGACTGTTATCTAAAAACAAAAGATAAAAAATGTTAGCAAGAATGTCGAGAAATTGAAACCCATGTACAATGTTAGTGGGAATGTAAAATGGTGCAGCTGCTGTGGAAAACATTATGGAGGTTCTTCAAAAAATTAAAAATAGGACTATCATATGAGCCAGCAATCTCACAATACTTTTTATATCACTTTCAAATAAACTGGGTTTATTCTCAGAGAATATCATAAAAATAACACCAGATTCTCTGGTCTGAAATAATTTACAAAAAGTAGAAACATGAGTAATCAACTACATGGATGAGTTGAAATGAAAATAGCTAGCAATATGGTTGAATAACACTTAGAATCAACTTATTTGAAATATGGTCAAATTTCATTTGGAATATTTTGGACACTAAGAACCCTCATTTGGCTTTCCAAATGGAAATGTTCCGTTTCCTGCTTTTAAAATATTTATGTGAGTTTGAAAATTCAGCAGTATCTTGGATACTGGGTTTTGTTTTACCTCATAGACATAATAAAAATGTGATTAAGATGGTGATAATTTCCTGTTTTAGCTATGACACTTTCTGACAATAAGAATTTTCATAAAAATATTATCACGAATGTGAGCACCAGAACACCATGAAAAATAAAATTAGAATAAAAAAGTTGGCATAGTCTAGGAAAGAGACTAGAGTTTATCTTTGTTAATAGTAATATTTTTCTTACTGGAAGAGCCTTATGAAATATACATCTGCTATTCAAAACAGTCCCATGAGAATAGTAGAAATTTTGCATTTACAAACATGCTTATGAATACATGAGTAATATTGTGTTGTAAATTTTATAGCAGCAATTATAATTATTTTGTAATCAAAGGGTGGATGATAAATGTGGAAAGTAAAATTTTTGGATATGAAATATTTATTATTTCCATAATGGGATCGAAAGTTTATTCTACGACCTCCTGGTTCTTCACCTTGTAAAAGGACTAGATAAAATGAAGAAGAGAAAACAATTGTTTCTACTAGTGACAATATAAATGCCATCAATATATACTTAGTGAAATTTCTAATAAGGATGTGGTATGATTTTATTAAGTATGTCTTTTTTTTTTTTTTTTTTTTTTTTTGAGGTGGAATTTTGCTCTCATCTCCCAGGCTGAAGTGCAGTGGCGTGATCTCAGCTCACTGCAACTTCCACCTCCCGGGTTCAAGCAGTTCTCCTGCCTCAGCCTCCAGAGTAGCTGTGATTACAGGCATCTGCCACTATGCAAACCTAATTTTATATTTTTAGTGGAGACGGAGTTTCACCATGTTGGCCAGGCTGGTCTTGAATTCCTGACCTCAAGTGATCTATCTGCCCTGGACTCTCAAAGTGCTGGGATTACAGGTATGAGCCACTGCATCTGGCCAAATATGTACATTTTTATGTAAAAATTTCCCTCTTGATTTTAGACCACTAGTTAAATAAACAAGATTTCATTTTAAAAATAAATTTAACTCTTACATTTCACACATGTCAATACCAAAAATAAAATATACATTTGTTCATTGTACTTTACTAGAAATGTTTGCCACAGTTGGCCTTAATCTTCATTATAATGTAATTAATTTAGATGACAGACGTAAGCAAGTCAGCATTAAAATCATTTATTGTGTTTCTAAAGTATTGTCCTGTGTTTAAGCTAAATATATCAAACTCAAGTTCTTATAATATGCTATGAGTTCTTATTTTATCAGCTCGAAACCCTCTATAGCTTATTACCGAGCATCATCTACCTGATTATTGATAAACAAACTACTGATTCTTTCTTATATTGAACACAATTCCATTTTGGAGCAATAAGAAAACTGCAGTCCAATTGAAAAGACAGAAGAAAACCTAATCATAGTGGGTTAACTGATTTGCATGCTCTGAGATGTTACCAACTGCTGCTCTTAATAATAAATAAAGTCATCACATTTAGCAATCTGGAAAATAAACTGAAATAATTATGTTTTCAGTTCTGATTTAACTGAAAAACAGTTAATGGGAGAGGGCTCAAAATTCTCTCAGTTGAAACAAGCTATAATTCACTGACAACCAGGTCAAGTGTGTATTTTTCACAGTGGCCTAATTTATTATATGTATACCCACTGAAGTGAAGAAGACCTCAGAGGGCTTTAAGGCAGAGGCCCAAGAATAAAACTGAAAAGGTTCTGTATTCAAACCAACCAGATATCATTTAAAGGCACTGTTTTGAGATTGCTATTGAATTCCAGCCTTATTTTACATTAATAACCAGCATTTATTCAACACATAATCTCTAACTTGTTTTCCTACTACATTAAATGTCACATTTAATCCCCAAAATATAACTGAGAGAAGGTGGATTTCTTATCCCTATTTTAAACATAGGGAAACTGAAAGGTATTTACCTGCTTAAGGCCACACAGTAAGTGACAGATTTTGGATTTCTAGTCTTTCTAATTCAAAATCTTAGTTGTTTTTTTTTTAAATCCCTGTGATACTGATACTTCCTATGGGCTTATTACTAAATTCACTATTTATACAGCGGAACTAATATTCACATTACGTATTTGGTTTAAGAAATATTTTCAAGAGAAACAAAGTAATTTTCTGTGTCTTCGTAGAGCATATAAACCACAGTCCAGGACCATGAATATTTAAGGTCTCAATAGCCCACATAACATCACTAAAAGTACCTAATGGATAAGCTACATTTATTTTATCTGATCTCATAAGTTAGTAGTTGGATATAAAATTATACTAACTCAGGGCCACAATGCACAATTGTGGTATTGTGTGTACGCAATGCTAGTGGGTACTATTCATGTTGCATACTATGTAACTGAGATGATGTGCTATTACATAAGTATCTAACTTCTGTATACATTCTTCCAGAAATTGGTAGAGTTTAGATTTTAAAGAGTTATAATTTATTTATATTTATTTATTTTCATTTTTTCGGGGGGAAGACAGAGTCTCACTGTCTCGCCCAA